CCCCAAAACCCCAAAACCCCAAAACCCCAAAACCCCTGAAAAGTGAAGGAAGGTTGAAAAGTGGGATTTTTGGAGTTATTTTGAAAATTTTGGAGGTTTGAGGAAGGAATGAAGGGATTTGATTGAGGTTTTTACTTCTGAGTCGGATTCAGATTTGAATGTTAGACGGATCTGGCGAAGGACTTTGGTCCTGGTATCGGATTGGGGATGAGTTGAGGAAGGGATTGAGTGGGTATTTGTGACAATGCCAGGGCTATCTAGGATGATACTCTTGTATTTATCAAGCGTCTGGATTGCTAGGAAACGGATATTTGGAACCTTGTCTTGTCAGTTTTCTATCAGAAAATCTATCATTCCTTCAAATTGTTTTACAAGATCCTGATTCATTCCAGAATATTGATTGAAATGTCTAGAGTTTAGATTATAAATTACTTGATAAGATTAGTGCTCAGTATTTGTAATCAGAATAGAGATGTCTGGCGATGTAAATAGTTCTGGTCTGACTTAAATGCATAAAGATAAAAAATAACTGTCTTCAGAAACCATTCAGCTCCAAATATAGAAGTTAATTTATTTATAACAGCGATTGCTTGTTGCCTAACAATATAAATTCTGTCAGAAAGGCTTTCCTTTAAGAGATCCAAAAAGACATCAGTAAACTCATCTTTACCCATAATTCCAGCAATTTTAGGGAATTCTTGAAGAAATCTTGACTTCTCCCTCCAATCGCTAACCTCTAGCATCTCTTTTCATCAAAATAGAAGCGATTCTTTATATTGCATGATCTCTGAAATCTTAGAAAGATTGGAAAGACCTGCCAGCAAAATCATTGCAAAAGAACGATCCTCAGAATTGTGAAGTCCCTTCTCCTCAATAATGTTCTTCAACATAGCATATATTTTATCTATAATCGGCATATAGAGTTCTTTAAAGTCCTTGTGTTCTTCCGAATTAGAAAGGTCTAGAATCATTTCTGCAATATATTTCTTAGTCATTTTATTAGTATCGCTCTCTAAGAGTCCTTCCAGAGTTGTTCAGATTTCCTTCCTGACATCTACTAAGGTATCATCTCCTTGGTCTGATGCATTATCCTTAAAAAATTCATCTTCTTGGTCAGCCTGTTCATAAGTGGGATTCTCTATCTAGATTTTATTAAAACGAGTATTTCTAGAATACCTACCTGATCCCGAGTTATATTGATATCTCCGAAGTAGGACATTATTCTTTTGGTATTCTCTATGAATGACTTCCTGACCACCCAGAAGCTATCAGTGTAGCCATCCAGGAAGTAAGGGAACAGAGAAATTAGAATATCTTCGTCGTCTTTTACCTTTTCGATAAATAATAAAGCTCCTTCCAGAGAGCAGGTTTTTACGACTTCTGTCATATCAGTGATGAGCTCCTTGACAATCCGCTTGATGAATTCTTGTGGAAATATTGGGATTAGGTCGATAATCTTTGGCAACGATACAGCGACCGCTTTTCTGACAGGATATACATTATCAGTAGCTGTATCTATTATCTGCTGGATCAATTTCTGTTTATTGTTCTCCCTAATGTCTTTTCCAATCATAAAAATGGCAAGTTCTAGACCGCTTATTTTACTTGTGAACCATTCACCTTTTAACAAGTTCATTGAGATCTCAAAGATATCATCCTGTACTGCTTTTGGCTTGGCTTCATCGATAATAAATTTGAATAACTCCAAAGCATTGGTTCTGACCTGTTCGTCCTCTCTAGTAGATAAATTATGGAGGATATCAAAGATGCACCTGGCATGCTTAACTCCCCCAATAAAGTGCAGAAGATCTTTAAAAATAGTCTTGCTTAGAAGTTCCAGTACTACCTCCTTCTCTTCAATAAGCTCAGTTATATTGCTCAATAGCTCATTCCTGGTATTTTCAGGCCCAAGTACTATTGCCAAAGTTGTAATGTTCCTGATGGATTCCTTCTTCCTCTCTATCTCAGGTGACTTTAGCTCATCTATAAGGATATAGATGGGATTGTATTCCATCTTCTTGTTAAGCCCCTCCATTTTTATTTATGATTTGTTAAAAGGGGTTTTGGGGTTTTGGGGTTTTGGGG